TTTTGGTTCATTTGAGATGATTCATCACTATTTCATGAACCTATAAATAAGGGGTTGGAGTGAATGGAAAAAATCAGCACTATAGTTCTTCAATCCTCCAAAGCTCTTGGCTAGCACCAATTGGTGGAGGTGATCTGATCAAAATTCGTGTGGATACTAACAAAGGAATTGGATACAATTGTTGCGGATGACTTTTGATCTTACAACTCTTCCTTTCAAGTCATTCTAAAGGTCATAATGTTAAAATCTAGTTCTTAATGCCTCACCTAGATCATGGAGGTTTTAATTAATGTCTGATGCATCTTCGGACCCCAAATCCAACACTGATAAGGACAAAATCTCTATTTACAAACTCTACAAAATTGTTGTTTGGAAGTTGGGATTTTAGATGATGTATTTAACCAATACATGTAATCAGAAGAATTCGTCATTTTTTGTCTTATACTGAAACATAATACTTGTATTTGAACTGCAGATGAGACCATCACAATCATTTATTATGAATGATTGTCAATCTTAGTTTTTAGCAGAGATTGTGTTCGATGGATTGTTAACTCACTTTTTCTTCCTTATTTTTCGAGAGATCACCAAAATCATTCAATCTCCAAATAATATATTTTCCAAATTCATACATTGAAACAATGCATCTAATTATAATACATACATATAATTATAATGCATCAAAATCAAAATAGTTGAATTATGTATATTCGGGTCCAATTGTACACATTTTATCCCTCATTTCTTGATATTTGGCTTTGCATTTCATCATCCCTCAACATATTTCACGCTAGGTTGTGATTGTTTTAATACATTTCAGGTCCTAGCACGTGTGGAAGGGTCGAAGACGAGTTTCAAGACGATTGAAGGTCGAAAAGCGCAGAAACCGAAGAAAAGTCCAAAGCCGTGACAGTGAAGCGCGGGCGCACAGGAAAGCAGGCGCAGTTCACGGTCCAAGCAGTGAGTACATGGTCGCCAGGACCGTGAATTGGAACCACAAACCATGAACCGTGAAGCGTCTAGAGGGGTTTCTGAGGTTACTGACGCCAAGGCAGTTCACGGTCGCTAAGACCGTGAACTGGAACCACAAACAGTGAACCACAGAAGTGAAGCGGTGCGTATTGATTCAAGCATTGGAGTTCACGAACGCGTTCTGATGTTCACGGCCGTGAATTGAGACCGTGAACTAGGCGTGCGGCTGGGTATAAATAGAGAGCTGGAAGGAGGAAGAAGAGAGCTTTTTGGAGGGTTTTAGTTTTCAAAATAAAGAGGGTTTTCTAGTGAGAGGTTAGGGTTTCCTCTTCCCATTCCGGAGAGAGTAAGTGTTATTCAAAGGAGGAAGAAGGAGATTGGGCTCAATTCAAGCTAGAGGATTGAAGATCTCTTCTTCTCAAGGGAGATTCAAGCAAGAAGGAAGGAATACACTCATCTCTCCATGGTTCTTTCTCTTTTTTTTTTCTTTTTTCTTTGCATAACTATGGATTAGCCTTCCTACTCAATTGGGTATTGTGAATCCTAGTCTAGATATGTGTTAGGATGTAAGAACTTGGTTCTATTGTGTTGATTGTGTGTTTTATATAATATTTGAGGTATTAATCATGAATGATTGGGTGTTGCTTGCATTGTCTCATTATTGGATCAAATTAACCTTGAAGGTGGAAATCCCCCTTTGGCCCATAGGGAGCATGATCTCCTAGCCACTTGGGTAACCCCTTTTAGGTTAATCTAGGGCCAAAACCTCAAGTATCAGAGTAGTACCATGATCCCATCATGGTTGGTCGCTCTCAGCCGTCCCCGTCCGGATTAACTTCCGAGGGTTAGCTCTTGCAACCCTTAGTTGATTAGTTAAGAGGGCTAGATCGTTTAGCTTATTGTTGTCATCCTTAGCTGAAAGGTTAAGAGAGTTAGTCTACTAACTTAATGCAACAATCCTTAATTGGTCAACTAAGAGAGTTAGGGTTTCCACGGTTTGTTTGATAAAGATAGCTAGGCCTCCTAGCTTATTGTTGCAATCCTTAGCCAAGTGGTTAAGAGAGCTAGGTTCGCTAGCTAATTGTAGCAATCCTTGATCGATCGACTAGGAGGGCTTGTTCCTAGTTTGTTGCACCCGCCTCGCGGTATATAAACATACCCTTCACACTAGAGGTTCGTCCATTGATTCTTAGCACGAGACTAGGGGAAGCAATACCCGGGTGAGGTACTCTCATATAGAATTCCCCTCGATTTTTTTTACTTGGTTGTTTATTTTGTAGTTTTCTTAGTTTTAAAACCAAAATTGTTTCAATTGCCCTTTATTTACTCGTTTAAATGATTTTATTTATGGTCCCAAATCAATTAATTTAAAAACAACAAAAGCTACGGATCCCTTACCCCTGCTATCCCAAAAGAACTTTTGTCTTCCTCTCTACTCCCCAGAGTCCATGAACCAAAGAAATCTGGCCATCAAGGCCAACTGCTTGCCATCAATGTCGGCTGGAGCAGGCTTCAGCAGTGGCAAATTGACCTCTTCTCCACGTCCTTGTGTCAATCTATCCGCTTTTCCTTGAAGTTTTCCTTCACCCGATTCTTGCCCCTCTTTCGTGTTTCTATAAATAGTGTTGGAATCCTAATTTTGAATTCTAACATCCTAATTTCTTCTGTTTTCATCAATGAATTATAAGCTACGAGAGTGGTTTGTAGACAATTAAGGATATTTATTGGACTGTGACCCCACCGAGGAAGATGGGTGCTTTATAATGAATCTAACCAGCAAGTGGAGCAAGCCAGAGATAAAAGAAGAGCACAACAAGTATCACTATGATGATTCGTACATGTATAATCCTAGTACTAGAAGATGACATAGTCAAAGTACTAAAAAATAATATTGTTTCTGCATTTTGGAGAGCGTATCTTACTCAACAAGGAACATATGGAGTCGAAATGACGGGGAAGCTGGTGTCGGAACGTCACATGGAGAAGCCGAGGGAAGCTAGCCCCCTGTTGTGTGATCAAGGGGAGAAACTGATGGCGTCGGAACATCACGGGAGATCCGGGAAGCTTGCCGTCTGGTCTCGCCTATCAACCGGTTCTCTCTACTCCAGCCGTCGGTGAGGAGATGTCAGGAGCAGGCACCGCCACCGAGTCGAGGGGCTGATTGCCAAGAGAGTTTTAGGGGGGACGAACGGTCTCTGGTCGAGTGCCTCAAAATTAATTTAGGGGTTTTTTTTAATTAATTGATTTGGGACATAATAAAATAGGTAAAATCAAAATTATGAGTGTTTTGGAGTAAATGAGAGGCAATTGTGTGATTTTCCACTATTATGATTGGGGCTCACTTAACATATAATTAGATGAAAGGGTAAGCTCATTACGTTTTAATATTTGAAGAGTATATTTGTGTAAAAATTTGGGTTAATACCTTGTTATGGCCTGAACTATAACCATGTAATCAACTTTGGCCAGTGGTTTGAGAAATTAATATCCTGGCCCGATCTATGCAGCATATTGACAAAATTGGCCTGGAGCGTGGTTTGACCGTTTGTTTGGACGGTCAACACCGTTGACCGTTAGTCAACTGTCCAGGTCACTGCCAATCTGCCATGTCAACATAAAAAAATTACAATTTCATTTTTCTTTTTATTTCATTTACAAAAATTGAATAATTAAAAAAAAAAACAAAATCCAAAAATTTTGGCCCACCCATCCCCACCTTATCCCCTCACCTTCTTTCCTTTTCGATCAAACCCAACCCTATTCCATCTTCTTCCTCCTTCTTCCCCGACGAGCCGCCGCCTCCATTCTCTCCGACGAAAACAAATCCCTTGCCAATTTCATTTCTCAAACAAGCCCATCCCAAATCATTCCCTTTCTCGCTCCTGTGTGACTCACGGTCAGTGACCTAGCAGTAGCCAGTTTGTTAGCGGGTCGGAGGAGTCCTGCGGCGTATGCGGACGCACTAGCGGCGGCGAGGCGGGTGAGGGGCAGTATTGGACGGTGATGGAAGGCGGCGTAGTTGAATACCAGGGGAATCGAGTGCTCGATTGCGTTCCCAAGTTGGTGGCTGGAGCCATCTCTGGTGCGCTGACGGGGATTTTCGCTTTAGGTAGTTCCGGGCTGCCTCCTCGATTCATTCCCCCCTTTCTTTCTTTCCTTCTGGGTTCCATTCATTGGCCTATTACTGACGATGGTGGTGTTTGGGTTTGGGTTGGTGTAGCGGGAGCTTGTACAGGAGCAATCACAGGTGCTTTTGCTGGTCGAGCCTCAGATTGTGGAGTACTTCGGGGAGCTGCGCTGGGTGCAGTTGCTGGTGCAGTGCTTTCTGTTGAGGTGTTGGAGGCTTCTCGCGCTTACTGTGTTGAGTTCAGGAAAACGATGTATAAAAAGAAAAATGAAATTGTAATTTTTTTATGTTGACATGGCAGTGACCTGGACAGTTGACTAACGGTCAACGGTGTTGACCGTCCAAACAAACGGTCAAACCATGCTCCAGGCCAATTTTGTCAATATGCTGCATAGATCGGGCCAGGATGTTAATTTCTCAAACCACTGGCCAAAGTTGATTACATGGTCATAGTTTAGGCCATAACAAGGTATTAACCCTAAAAATTTAGTAGATTCGTATGATTGTTAATTTACTAATAGAGGATAAAAATCTATTAACCATTTGAAAAAAATGGATAAGTTATGTACACAGAATCTTAAAGCATTTTAGAAAGAAAAAAAAAATTCTCCTACTATACCGTCACAAAATCAAGAAAGACAAAACCTATATACCACTTAAAAACACGCTCCCCAATTCCTCTCTCTCTCTCTCTCTCTCTCTGTCGTCCCTTGTGCTGTGTTGTGTGTGAACCGTATACCGTTAACCATTTCCTCTCCCGCCGACGGACGCAGCTTTCCCCTGCTTTCCGGCTTTTCCCCTCCCAACTAAACCAAATTGAGAGTCATCGGAGCAAACTCTCATCTGGGTTTCTCTCAATTTTCGCTTTGCCGTCTTCTCAAGAGAGAAAAACAGAAAAAAAATGGACCGGCGATCCTCCGTTGACTCCTACAGCAGCAGCAGCAACAGCGGCGGTGACGGAAGCTATCAGAACCACCACCACCACAACAACATCAACAACAACCAAAGCAGAGATCAGTACCTGAAGAATCTCAACAAGCAATCGCAGAAGATCTCCAAACCCAGTATCCCGTCTAACCCTAGAAAGCTCTCTCCTTCCCCCTTTGACCACCATCAGCAGCAACCCAATTTCAATTCCAATCCCCCGAATCCAATTCCTCCGCCACAGCCGCAGCCGACGCAGAACCAGCCCCATGTCTACAACATCAACAAGAATGATTTCCGCGACGTCGTTCAGCGCCTCACCGGATCCCCTGCCCACCACGACCGCTTCTCCTCCCCCAATCCTCCTCCTCCAGCCCCTGCTCCGGCTCCGGCGTCCAAGGCACCGTCTCAGGTCTCTCGATTGCAGCGGATCCGCCCTCCTCCGCTCGCCGGCCTCGCCCCCAACCGCCCGCCGCCCCAGATTCAGCACCACAATCAACACCGCCCCATGCCTCCTCCGCAGCAGCACTACCAGCCCCCGCCGATGAATACCCACATGCCTCCTCCGGGCCCGCCACCACCCAACGGCTTCTTCCCGCGTCCGCCGCCGGGTCCTTTATCTCCGGTTCCTCAATTCCCCGGCCCTGCAGTGGCGGAGTCGCCCGTTTCGGCTTACATGAGATATCTCCAGGACTCAATGGATCCCAACAAACAGCAATTTACTGGGTTCTCCCCTCTCGCCCCTTTGGTTTCCCCTCGATGGAACAACGGCAATAACAATTTGCAACAGCAGAACCAACAGCATTATGGACCACCGCCGCCTCAGCCTCAGCAGTACCACCACCAGGGGCTACTTCCGTCGCCGAATGCTGCTGCTGCTGGGACAGCGATGATGCCTCCGCCACAACCATCCCCTTTCCAGCAGTTCCCGCAGTCTCCTTTGTCGTTTGGGTTCTTGAATTCTCCGCGGTCTCCTTATCCTCTGTTTTCTCCAAGCACGTTGCTTTCTCCTTCGGCTTTCCCTCTTTCCCCGACCATGCCAATGCACAGTCCAAGATGGTTGCTTTCCCCCAACCCTTTCCCTCTTTCCCCCACCATGCCCTTCCCAAGTCCCAGATGGAGAGGGATGTGATCTTGTTACTGCACTATTCAGGTAGTTCTGAGTTCTTATCCATATTCTCTTATTAGACTGATTAGAGCATTAAGGTTTCATGTATATGTATATATATATGAATGGGGATTCATTTGATTGCCAGTGGTTCATTTTGGACGAAAAGTGCCTGGCTCTGGCCATGTAATAGATAAAAATTGTTGTAAAAATTGATAGTCAAATTACAATTTTCAAATAGGAAAGAACCCTTGGACTTGACCTTTCGCATTCCTTTTTTACAAAAAATTCGTATGCTTCTGCATTTGTACTGTATTTGATACTTCAGATTGACAATTCTGTTAGAGTAAATGAAACAACATGTGGTTTGCACTGTTGGTTTATTTCATTCATCTTAATGTGCTCCGGTATTGGAGATTCATTTCAAGTCTTTCTTTGGCCATTGGATTGATTTTTTCTTCAGTGAAGAGGCTTTGTTTGCTGATAATGCTAGATGAGAATATCCCTTACCAAGTTCTTGTAAGTGCTAATGAAATTGAAAGGCCTTTGTCTTGTTTTCCCAGTTGAGTAATTCGTTGGTATTGTAGTATTAATACAGGTTTGTTTGGTTTACCATCTCTGCTGTCAGTTTTACTGTGTGCTGTGGTTGTTATTAGGTTAGTTTCTCTTGCGATATAATAATGCTTTGATTGCTGGAGTTTGTTTAATTTTCTGCAAAGGATTGGTAATCTTGCACTTTGAGTACTTTACTCTAAGTGTTCAGTTTTTTGCACTGCTGCCTTTTGAGCTTTACTAATTGCTTTATGATGGACTTAGAAGAAATTTCCATTCTTCATATTTCTGCCATGTGATCGTTCTCCTCTGGTTGGTTGTCTAAATAAAACCATATCCTCAGTGCATCTCGTGATATGTTGGGTGAATTTCTGAGTATTTTGATTGCGGATTAGTTTTCCAAGTTCTTTTCTTATGCCTTCTTGCTCCTTCATTCAAGCTTGTAGGTATTCTTTATTGCCGAAGCACAATAAGAAACCCGTATAAAGGAAGGTTCATGGGATCATCAGACAACACATAGATCATAAACTTGACCGTGAAGTGTCATGTTCTTCTTAGCAATATTCTTCTTGGAAACACACAAGATGGGTTGGAGAATAGAGACATTTGTTTTGTTACCTAGCTAGATAGAGTCTACAGAGGAACAGAAATTATTGGCGTAATTTTCCAGGCCTTTCTGAGGAGAAAGGAAGACAAGGAACTTAAGTCGGTTTGAGGGATGAATGTGGTGATGGAGCTTTCTGTGAGAGTGTAACCAAACTGCCATTTTCACCAAGTAACTATTCTTGCCATTTGTTCAGTTCACAGCAGATTTTTTCTTTACAAGCTTTGACCTCAGGATTGAACTGTAGTTTTCTTATTTTTTTTCTTGGACAAAATGGAACTGTAACTAGGATGTGTTATATAACCAGCAGATGAAACAGTGGTCATACTTTTACATCATTGTAATTGTTGGGTTCTTAGTCATTATGTTCAGTGTTAGATGCCTTCTCCCCTCGAATCAATCTGTTAGAATTGTACAAGAAGTTGCTGCTATGGAAGACTTTTGACTGAATTTGATGATTTGTTTGGCTGAGGATCAGCTTCTCTTGAATTTGTGGGGGGATCTTCATCTTATGCTTATCTGGTTGTGTCTATGTGTGTGCTTTTTTCCCTCTTCTTCAAGACTTTGCATTCCATTATGTATCTTGAAAAGGTCAAATTTTCCATCAACACGTATCTGTAGCTCAGCTCTTGGAATGCTGTTGCTGGTAATTGAGGGTGTAAAGAACGAGTTATCATAGGATTATTCTAATACATGACTTTATGCTTCTTACTGATTGTGTTTGGATCCGGGTGGTGACGAAGTGCTGACTATTAAGCAAACCAAAACTTGGGTTGACAGCTATTTTTCTGGATTATACGGCTAGGCTAATGTAGACTTGGTGCCTGGTGGTTAGGGATGGCAATGGGTCGGGTTGGGTCGGGTTTTGTCAAACCCAAACCCATGGGTTTATCTTTGAAAAAAACCCGGGGTAAAACTCACTGGGTTTGAAAAACTCAAACCCAACCCAACCCGTTGGGTATCCGCGGGTTCATGGGTACCCACGGGTTTTGTCGTAAAAAATTTACAATTACAAGATCTTATCAAAATTAAAGTCAAATATCAATTTCTCAATACAACTTATCCATATATAAAACACCATTCTAGAAAATTCAAGCAAATCACAAATTAACTATACAAATTGTTCAACACCAATCTAGAAAACTCAAGAAAATTGAAGCAAATCACAAATTATCCATAAATAACATGTTTAATTGAAAGCTTCTTCCTTTCAATTAAGTTTCTTTACTCTCCACTCCATAACATCAACTTCATTCTACACAATTAAAAAGAAAAAATTAGACATGTCTCCACAAACATAAATAAGATTAGTTGTTTAGAATATTAAATATACCGAAAAAATTAATTATATGGGTGGGCGGGTACGCACGGGTCGGGTTTACCTAAACCCAAATCCAACCCAACCCGGTGAATAGTGAACGGGTTTAAACCCAAACCCGACCCAAAACCCGTCAACACGGATTTTACCCGCGTTGACCGGGTTGGGTCGGGTGGTCACCCGTGGGTTCAGGTTTTGTTGCCATCCCTACTGGTGGTGGTAACAGTCAAATCTGTATAGCTGTATATAGTATGTATTTAATATTTATATATATACTGGAAATCTTGGGTGCCCTGCCCACTTCTGTTTAGAGATATGGATGGTTAATGGTTGGATGATATGAGCTTATGATTCCCACCAGCTAGCTCGATGAAATAAGGCTTCTTGATGACTTGATTGTTGAATCGTCTGCTGCCATGGTATAATGGACTACTAGGTTGTTGGTCAAAATAATCCCTCTTGTAGTCTCAGGAATTATAGATCCGGAATTAGATGCTCCATAGTGCAAGAAACTACGGCTCGTCGCTTAGCTTGGGTTAGAATGTAAGGAAAAATAATTTGGGCTTGTCGTCCATATATACTTCTCGCTTGACGGAGCATCCTAATACACATTCCAAAAAGAACGTGGCTAGTGGGCGCAATGAAGAGGAGTTTCCAGATTCTTATCTTGTGGACTGTGAAAATGAGAAGGTGGAATCGCTTGGCTATGGAGAAGGTTATGTGAGCCACGCAGAGCGAAGGATTAAAGGAAGCCAAAGTTGTTGGTGTGGGATCCGTTCAAGTGCTAAAACCTTATTGGAAGAAGAGAACGCGTAGGGTGCAGAGGAGCCTATGTGTGGACAAGTGAGTCAAGTCGGTCAACCTTGAGAACGAGATTGGTCTCAAGAAAAGTGGATTGTTAGAAACAATATTTATTAGGGTTATTGGAGGGTTAGGCTGCCAACTAGTGGCCTAGCAAAATTAGGATTATTGTTAGGGTTTTGGAGGTATTTTATTATAAATATGTACTTTGTGACTTACAGGAAGAATAGTTAGAAATCATTAATCAAACCCTATTTAGTTTCTCTCTTTCTTATTCTCTCTTCTTCTAATCCCCAATCTCCAATTATGTTCTTCATATCTCTATTTCCAATTCTTATTCTCAAATCGCTAATTCTTTCTCACAATCCCTATGACGGCAACCTCCTCGTTGTAGTCCCCTCCTCTGATGGTCGCCACTTCCTCAACTTCAGCGTTGGCTTCTTTGACTTCCCTGGTGGCGTGGCCACACCGAAAACCAACACCACCTCTACCCGACGAGCCTGGTCCCGGCGTCGTCCTCGGCCTCACCTCTTCGTGGGTCGCAAATGGAGTCGAGACCGCTAGCCGCCATTGGCTCTTCTTTCTCTCAGTTGGCGATGCGATCCGGAGCTCCGGTGAGTCCTCCCGGTGGTCGCCATCAAGGCCAACTCTTGTCCTTTGCATCTTCTTCCTAGATTTCCATGAGGTAGCACCTTCGGTGCGGGGTCATTGGTCGTTCCTTCCGATTGTGAATTCCTCATGCTTCTCATAGCTCCCTCCTTTTCCTAAATTTCCAATTCGTGGAACAAGATGTGGGCAAAAGCACTTGTTTCATTAACTTGCCACCCTGCCACCAACTTCCATAGGATAGTGATCAACACACCATGAGGTAGCAACTTACATAGGCAGTGGATAATATGACCAAACATTCTTCTCCTTTGACCATTGTAATCCAAGACCTTCGAGCTTAACCTTGAAGTTGTCCCACGATTGTAGTAGAAGAGGACGTGAATTACCTTGTCGCCCTAAGTAATCATTGCTCATCAATTCTATCCCCATGAGTTTCCCCTCCTCCGTGACTTGGTTGGAGGCATCAGGCTCCTCACTCTTCCACAACACTTCGGTTGCTGCCGGCTGGGGCTTCTTCATCGAGGTCAGTAGGGGCTGCCCCCTACGAAGGTTCCAGAGTTGCGGTCATTCCTCGGCCTTGCAAATTATTATCAAAGGTTCATCACGAGCTACTCCAACATGGCAGCACCCTTGACGAATCTTTTGAAGAAGAACAAGACTTGGGACTGATCGGATTGGTGCCAAGAAGTATCCGAGGCCTTGAAAGCAGCAATGATGAAGGAGCCCGTGCTCGTGCTCCCCAACCCGACGTTGACCTACGAAGTGCAGACTGATGCATCCGATATTGCTATTAGCTATGTTTTGATGCATGATGGGCATCCCATTGCCTTCGAGATTCAGAAGCTCAACAAGACGGAGAGGCGATACAAGGTCCAAGATAAGGAGATGACAATTGTGATGCATTGCTTGCGCACATGGAGGCACTACTTGTTGGGATCAAAATTCATAGTGAAGACGGACAACGAGGCGACGAGCTACTTCCTTACACAGAAGAAACTCACCCTCAAGTAAGCAAGGTGGCAAGATCTGGACGAGTTTGACTTCATGATAGAGTACAATCCAGGCAAGGTAAACTCCGTTGCAGATGCTCTTAGCCGCAAGCTTCAACCAGCCCGTGTTTCCTTTGAAGGAGCGAATCAGCGAAGGCCTTGGCCATGACCCATTCACCAAAATCGTGGAGGAGTGCATCGAGCAAGGTAAGACTCAACGGTTTTGGATGAAGGATGGGCTCATCATGACCAACGAAGAGCGCGTGTTCGTGCCAAGATTGGCCAACTTGAGGAAGGAGATCATGAAGGAGTGCCATGATTCCAAGTGGGTTGGCCATCCCGGCATCGAGAGATCGCAAGCGCTCATCGACGTGGAGATGTATGTGAAGACTTGTCTTGTGTGCCAACAAAACAAGATGGAGCAAAGAAGCCCGACATGCTTGCTAGAGCCCTTGCCACCACCTCAACGACCATGAGAGAGTGTAAGTATGGACTTCATCGTCGCACTCCCCAAAGTCGACGAGTGTGGTTGCATCATGGTTGTGGTGGATAGGTTCTCGAAGTATAGAGTGTTCATCCCTAGGCCAAAAGACATAATTGCAGAGGATGTGACGCGAATGTTCTTCAAGAACGTGCTCAAGTATTGGGGCATTCCTAGCAACATCGTGAGAGACAGAGATGGGCGTTTTAGTCGTCCAATTTTGGCGAGATTTGTTCAAGATCATGGGCTCTGACTTGAAATTCTCGACAACATTTCATCCGCAAAGCGACGGACAGACGTAGCAAGTGAACGCCTTGCTGGAGGTATACTTGAGACACTGGGTTTTCCTACAATTTGCACCGCAGTGAGTCAACCAACACAAGTCCATTCGAGTTGGCGACGGGGCAGCAGTCGTTGACGCCTATGACGGTGGAAACGGGGTATAGAGGAAACAGTCTAGCAGCCTACAAGTTCGCTAAAGGCTGGCATGAGAAGATGGAGATGGCTAAATCTTACCTAGCCCGCGCTAGTAAGAAGATGAAGAAGTGGGTGGACAAGAAGAGGCTACACTTGGAGATTGAAGAGGGAGACATAGTGATGGTGAAGTTCTACCCTCATTGCTTCAAGCATCTCAAAACGTGCTCAAGGAACTGCTTTGCCGCTATGAAGGGCCATTCTCCATTGTGAAGAGTATTGGCAAGGTGCGTACAAGGTGGAGGTACCGTCGCACTTGGCAAGGTGCGTACAAGGCTTTCAATGAAGACAAGGAGGATGAGAGGCGGACGAAGTCACATTGTGCAACAACATTCTTCACCAAGACAAATTACCATGAAGTTGAAGAGATCACGACGCATCGTGTCATTCCTTGTCGAGGCGTTCATCCAAGCCATATGGAGTACTTGGTCAAGTGGAGAAACCTTTCGGAAAGCGAGGCGAGTTGGGAGAAAGAGTTCACGCTTTGAAAGAACAAAGACTTGATCGAGACTTTCCATCAAGAGGACGCAATGAAGGCATCACGAGCATATGTGAGGGAGGATGTCACATGTGGCAGATGACGTAGCGCCAACAAGGTGACAACATGGTGGCTGCACATGTGACGTGTATGGAAGACTACAAGCATAGAGATGCCTCTAGGATTCTCCACCTAAATGAGAGCTTAATGGTGCACTTATGAGCTACATTATGGCTGACATTATTAGAGTGCATTATGGGGGGACTTAATGGGTGTATTGATGTAGAGGGGCCATTATGAGGGACATTGATATCTTCTATGTGGAGATGCCTATATAAGGATCCATGTCCCTCATTTGTACTCATTCCATCATTTTTTTAGAGTAATACACTTACAGAGTTGTTCCATCTTCCTTTGCCTTTCTTTGTCTTTCTTTGCTAACAAGTGAGTTGGGAGAAAGCTGCCTATCATCTCTAACGGAATTGAGAGCTAGGGCCGCACAACCGAGAGTAAGGCCGTGACAGTATCTACTAGTCAAAGAGATGTTGACAAGCAGAGTTTAAATTAGGGGTGACAATGAACCCGGTTGGGTGTTCTCTAAACTCAAACCTAATTCAACGACTGTATTCACTAAAAAAAACTCGGTAAAATACCCATTTGGGTTTTACAAGTGGAAACCTATCCTAACGGGTACCCACGGGTACGAGTGGAGATTGGTGCGGTTTGGGTTACCCATCCCTTATTTTGTGGTCAACCACATTGACAGAGTTACGATTATGCTAACCACAAACCGCATCACAGTGGTTAGTGTGTAACCATTACCCAACGTGGTTTGGTGCGGGTTGGTCTTGGTTACCCAAAAAACCTCATCTTTGCATTGCATGCATGGGGCTGTGGCCACCATCAACGAATCCGCCATTTACAACTAGACTATAGTGATATATTGTCGTGTTGTTCATTGAGAATAAATTCTGTACATCATATTGAGCGTTTTTTTGGCTTTTCTAGTTTGTAATTTGACTTTTTCTGTCGGAGAGATGAAAAAAACTGAAGTTTTTGCTTTACAAAATGCAGATTAATCCCACACGACAAATGCAATTTCACTTCTCAACTTAACATGTACTACTAAAGTCCATTTCTTGCATCTTGATATAGAGTTATTTTAGTCTTTTACGGAATTAGTCCTTACTCTTTATATTATAAAATAATATCAATACGTATGATGAACTTAATGATAAGTTAAAAATTTTGTTTGACTAATGTGGTTATAGTAGATTTTGTGGTTCGCCGCTGTAGTTAGTGGTTAATCACTAACCACAAAAATAAGGATTTTACTAACCACACCTAACTCACTACCCACAATTATACCCACAAATTGTGGGTGTGGTTAACCACAATAACCCGCAAATTGCAAACCAAACTTCCACTCATACCCACTGGTGCATGACTACTCACGAGTTCATGAACATAATCATACTTTATTTCTTCAAACATCTACATTGTAATGTTATTCAAAATTTTCCTATAAATATATTTCTCTAAAGCCTACTAACATAAGTAATTTATCCATTTTATTAGGCTTATATCCTCATAAGAACTAATAATATTACTAAATTTTTTATATTGTTTCGGTTATACAAAATATGACATTGTATTTGCTGAGTGTCTCAACCCACCAATTTCAAAATGGGTAAAACCTGCATCCGACCAAAACCCTATCAACATTTGGTTCTATCTCCTTTGATCAAGTTGGGATCCATGGGTTCACGTTCAATTGCCATCGAATGGCAGTAGTCGAAGGACTCGGGAGAGAATACATGGGAAAACAAGAGGCGACTTCATATGTCACTTAACCTAACTTCTAACTCCCTGATAGAATTTCCTGTTGTCCGTTGTTTTATTGTGAAATTTCAACATGAGCACACAATACCAGGTCAGTCAAGCAATTGAGCCGTTTATAGAAGAATAGGTAGATTCGCCGCTCGATTACAGTGGCAAAGCATCTTCCAAAGCTTGCAAGATTCTGATATAGCCAGTTGTCAGTCAGACCATTGTCCAATCCAAATGGACAAGATAATAAGAGAAAAAGAAAATTGATTTGAGGAGATAGAACTTTTAGGGTCGAACCACCCCGACCATCACGGTGGCGAAGCTGATTCTTTTTCTAACCACGACAATCAAAATCAAAAAGCAAAAAACACTTCCGTTGCAAAACAGAACGGACGAAATCAATTTAATATACTACACAACCAGATCCAACGCGGTGCTTTCTAACTAATCAATCGCCCAGCCGAACAGTTAGCCTAATGACAGCAAAACAGCGACAAAAGAAAGACAACTCCTCAACAACAAAGCTAGCTTAGCGATGACAACATAGAAACAAGGCATTTAGTTATATTAATAAAAAAGCTTCAATATTATCAATTCGGAAAACAGAGAGGCACATTCGAGGGGTGGACAAAGTAAAGAAAGACCCAACTAAAATTTAAATAAAAATCAAAGGAGAAGGAAGAAAAAAGAAAGAAAAAGAACGACTTGATCCCTTCCACAATCCAAAGCCAAGACAGTAGGAACAATTAATTCTTTTTTTGCCTAAAACCTGCAAGTAACAAAGGGAGGCACGCCAAACCATCTCCAAGTTAAAACGCTTAGGGGGAGGAGGAGGAAGTTCACCCTTCATTTGCATTCTCACATTCATCTGGTATTCGCCCAGGTCCGGCGAAAAAGCTCTACTGCTGCTCCTCGGCACCTTTGGGCGCAGATGCTGCCTCCTTGATTTCGTCCGCCCCGTCGTCCTACAGCACAAGCACAAGAGAGGCGCAGCCCCAAGTCGATTCAGTCATCGTATCACACTAAGTTATGTGGCATGACTTTCGATACAGTTTCACAATCAATGGTTAAACTACGACAGCACACGCACAAGAGAAGCGCAACCACATGTCAATTCACTCATCGTAATACACTAAGCTAATGCAGTATGACTTCCGATACAGTTTCACAAGCAATGGTTAAACTACGACAGCACACCCACAAGAGAGACGCAGTCCACGTCGCCAATTCACTCATTGTATTACACTAAGTTATGCAGTACGACTTTCGATACAATTTCACAAGCAATGGTTAAAACCGAGAGCTAAAATGAGTATTGGTTCTTACCTGCATATCGGAGGTCCACAAGGTGAGATTGTCACGGAGAAGTTGCATGATCAAGGTGCTGTCCTTGTAGGATTCCTCGCCCAAGGTATCCAACTCTGCGATTGCTTCATCAAATGCCTGCAACCAAAGGAGGTAGGTTTCAGAACAACAGCCAACCAGGAAAGACAAATAGCATCCGCGGTTGCAGCGATTTTGGAAACAACTCCAGCAGAGATTGTAAAAGGCATGAGGCTAATCAGCTGGTCAAAGTCCATGGCAAATAGCACAAGCGTTCTCTAATCTAAACAATTCCCAATAACAACACAAGATGGTGACTCAACCTGTTTGGCGAGGTTGCAGGCGCGATCAGGAGAATTGAGGATCTCATAGTAGAAGACTGAGAAGTTGAGAGCCAATCCTAGTCGGATCGGGTGGGTCGGAGCCAATTCAGCATTTGCAATATCCTTCAAACACACACACACACACAAACAAAAGTAAATGCAGGTTAGACGGACGAACAATCTGTTGTGCCAAATTAACAAGGATGATTGAACAACGAATCGAAACCCTAGTAGATCTGGGGCTATGGAGGCGAGATCTGAAGACTGACGTTAACTACAACGAAATCGAATGAAATGAAAGAACGGGACAGAAAATGACACCTGAGCAGCTTTGTAAGCAGTGAGAGTGCTTTCGGCGGCCTCCTTCCTCTCGGCGCCGGTCTTGAACTCGGCGAGGTACCTGTGGTAATCGCCCTTCATCTTGAGGTAGAAGACCTTGGAGTCGCCGGAGGCGGCGGAAGGGATGAGCCTGGTGTCGAGCAGCTTCAAGATCCCGTCGCAGATGTTGGAGAGCTCGGTCTCGATCTTGGTCCTGTAGTCGCGGATCATGTTGACGTGGTCCTCGTTGCCGCGGCTCTCCTCCTTCTGCTCGATGGAGGAGATGATGCGCCAGGAGGCGCGGCGGGCGCCGATCACGTTCTTGTAGGCGACGGAGAGGAGGTTGCGCTCCTCGACGGTGAGCTCCTCGCCGTCGATGGAGGCGGAGACCTTCTCCATGAACTCGACCATCTCCTCGTAGCGCTCGGCCTGCTCGGCGAGCTTGGCCATGTAGACGTTCTCTTCGCGAGCGGATGTTGCCATCTGGGGGGGAAGAAGGAGATTGATTTGACTGTAGGGAGAACTAGATCTGGATTTTTCGATTCCTGGTTGGGTGTTTTCTTCTTGGGAATGGAATCGCGAGGAAGGGGAAGACTGTGGCGTTAAGAGGAAGGAGAGGAGTGGCTAATTTTGGGGGAAGAAAAGGGGGAAAAGGGAAAGGAAGGGAGGGCGATGATTGCGTTGGGGAAGGGAAGGGGTGTGCTTCTGGAGGGGATGAAATCTGGACCGTTGGATGTGTCTGAACAAAAAGATGGTAAGCGTAGACCGGTTGTGGTTGTGGCCTTGTGGGGTGGAAAAATGGCAGCTGGCAGACACGGGTTCTTGATTTGAATTTTGAAAAATAAAAAACCTACAGCAGCAAAAGAAGAGAAAAGAGAACGGTCTCCGTCCTTATCTTATTATTATTATTTTTTTTCCCGATAAGTTATTATTATTATTATTTCTTTGGCAGAACGGTCTCCGGGCAATTGATAATGCACATTTGAAAGTATTTCTCCAAAGACTCAAACTAGCCATTGCCTATTACTATTAGAATTGACTTGACAATCGGGTCACTAGGGTAACTTTGGATGAAGAATTTTACTATGATATAGCATTGTTGTTACATGCTTTTGCTTTTATGATACAATTTGAAGTTGTACATTTAATGTTATAGTATAACTTCAGAATGTACAAATTCTTTTATAAGACAACTTGAAATTGTATGTTTATGTGATGGTACAACTTTAAAACAGAAGAGTACAAATTTCTTTATGGTATAACTGAGCTTTTACATTTAACGTTATGGTTCAATTTTGGATTGGTGATCTCGAGTCACGGGTCGTAATAGGTGTTTTCCGGCGAGAAAACTTCTTGTGTTGAATTGAGATGGATTGCACCTTTGACTTCTATGGACAACGATTTCTAAGACACGGCTCACACCTCTTCAAACAAAGTTCGAACGAGGGTGTTTGATTGATGGTTTTTGGGAACAGAATCTAAATTAAATTACTTCTACTCCTATGGAGGTTCGACGAGAGCTCCAAACTACGAACTACATCTATGGCTACATGATAGAGAAAAGGTAAAAGATAAACTTGACATGTGTGTCAGAGTGTTGGTTTTGGAACCCTTGTCTCTGTCGACCCCTCATCTTATTTATAGCCCCGTGGAGGTAACCGCCATAGAAAACCGCTTGTTGGATAACTGCTACAAAGAACCGCTCCCCCTTCTTCGGTAGAAAACCGCCTCTTGGATAACTCCCAAAAAGAACCGCTCCCTGCTTCCTCAGAGTGGTGGTTACTCCTTCAACCGCCTAGGTGCCTCTCTTGGAACCGTCGTGGGTCTTGGAGTGTAGCTTGCCTCGCCTAGTCTTGTTCTGAATCTCGTGTCATGCTAGTCTTTTGATGAGCATGTGGTGTCTCACAAAGGGGGTCGTGGTCTTCTTGCTTCGCGGCCATGGACTTCTTACTCATGTTCATGGCCTTCTTGTCTCGCGGCCATGGACTTCTTACTCATGTTCATGGCCTTCTTGTCTCGCGGCCATGGACTTCTTACTCATGTCCATGGCCTTCTTGTCTTACGGCCATGGACTTCTTACTCATGTCCATGGCCTTCTTGTCTTACGGCCATGGACTTCTTACTCATGTCCATGGCCTTCTTGTCTCGCGGCCATGGACTTCTTACTCGTGTTCATGGCCTTCTTGTCTCGCGGCCATGGACTTCTTACTCATGTCCATGACCTTCTTGTCTCGCGGCCATGGACTTCTTACTCATGTCCATGGCCTTCTCGTGACACAACATGGCCCTCTCATACTTACTATCTTTTCTTGCGTCCATGCCCCTTCTCGTGAAGTGGCACGTGCTTCTCCTTGAAGTGGCATGTACCTCTTCCAGACTTAGTTTATTTTTTAGTCATTAGGCCTTGGTCATGGGGCGGCATGGCCTCTTCGTTGAGGCGGCATGGCCTCTCTTTAGACTTAGTAGCTTGGGCCTAAAATCAATATCCATAAGGCCCAACTGAAACAACATTAATTGTTATAATGGGTGTGGCCTTATAAACTCATTAATTATCTTGTAACTCACCAATGTGGTACAAGACAAATTTTATGGTGTAAACAAATGCCCCCCAACTACTTAGTGTATAAGGCTTATGGACTAAGTAGTTGAACACCACCATGCTAGCGAAAGTAACAAGCTGGCTAGTGTCTACTCAACACACCTAGTTCATCCTTAGCCAAAAACTTGACTTTCACGTCAAGCCAACGTGGTAGGATTACTCGACGTCAAAACTTGCCTCATGCCTTAGCCAAAATTTTGCTTTTAATGGTCAAGCCGCCTAATGCATTCAACGAGACACCAACTTCAATTTATCACCTACACCCTCATTGACATCTCGTACTTGGCCACATGGTTGAGAGAATAACTTAGAATTCTTCGCACCTATTTTGGCATAGATTGACTCATCCCACCTCGTCACAAGGCTAGACAGTTCCCTCGCGACAAGTCAAGCCGTCTACTTTTTTGTCTTAGAAAAAATAATGTTCATTTTTATGTTGGTAGAGACATTATGGTCACCACTCCTCGACTACCACTTTCAAGCCATCATGCCCCCAGCCGTGGCTACTCGGGACAAGATAACCTGGCATGGCATGGCCTGATGTATGGCTCGTCGTGTCAAGCCATCACAATAACTTGGTGGCAAGATCTTCATGTCGAAGTCTAACAACTCCGACTCAAGATTTTCCTTCTATCTTTTCTTTTAGCCATGGTTGGCTACAATATTTTTTTTTATAACTAATATATAATAAGTACATTATATAAATTTATTTATTTTATATGGCAAGAAGTGACAAATGTCACTGCTCTCCATAGCCTTTGGCAACAATCAATGTACCAAAGGTGTACACCCATTGCCAAGTCCATGGATCAAACCAGACATGCCATCCATAGACCACATGACTCTTTTCCTCCATGGGAGATGAATCTTCATACATTAACTTTGAATTTTCTAGCTTACTAATGGGTGGTACATAGTGAGCCTGTCTAGTTTTGGTGGCCTTGCATGAGGCCTCGTGCTTCTTTGCTTGGGCCACCTTACTTGACATGTCAAGGCTATCATGATTATTCTTCTGCCTTGATTTCCTCCCACTTGATAAATGCTTAATCTCCTCACGATGTTGGGGACCAGGTCTAGGCTTGACAAGTTGACAACCACTCGTGTAGCTTCCTTGTCTTCGTCTTTCAATATATAAACCTTGTTGGCCCCTACACTTAGCACTCAACCACCATTGATTCTTTGTGCAGCCATGTTTGGCTGATGTGTATGGTGACTTCTTATACATGCCCCCATGTACACTCTTTGTGGTTAGTGACGAGTACTTACTATTCATTGACATGGACTTGCCCCCCAATCCTCCCTTGTCCATAATCTCATGCTTACAAAATACATGTGAGGGTTTGACTTCTTTTGTCTTCTTGGAGATGTTGTCTACTTCATTCTTCATGGTGGGTGAAATGCTCCCTTGTCCAGACTTAGCAAAATTTGCGAGACTGTGACAACTCTTTCTGCCTTTTCCACGTCTTTCCTTGTTGGACTTGCCCCCATGTCCACTGTTTGTGGTTGGTGGCCTGCTTTCTTGTCCAGACTTAGCCATATTATCATATTTATCACAAACATGTGAGGCTTTGGGTTGATGTGGCTTCTTGGAAACCACCTTCCCCCTAGATGGACATCTCGACTTCTCTTCGTCAACCTTAAAACTCTTCTTGCAATGAGCACACAAATTCTCAACTTCATCAGTCATCATTGCGGCCAGGCTGGCCTGCTTGGTACATGACGAGCTTCCTTGGTCGAAAACCACGTTGGGTCTCCTTTGAGGCGGTGTTGTATCCAACACCAGCTTGAAGCGTGGTAACTCGACTTTGGAGAAGTCTGGGTTGACCATGTTGATGCCAAGCACCTTGGGGAACGGATCAGTGTCCACCAACATGGCATCCTTCTTTGCTTCTGGGAACGTGATACGTCCCTTTTCAATGGCATCCTGCAAGACATTATGGAACACCACACAAGAATCAGTGGCATGTGACATGCTATTATGCCACTTACAATACTTTTTCCCTTTTAATTTCTCGGGTGAGGGAAAGACTTGCCCCCCTGTCAACTTGACTTGACCATCCTTATAGAGTTGGTCAAACATCAAGTCTGCCTTGGAGACATCAAAGGAATACTTCCTTGGCTGAATGGGAGCACGATTGGGTCTCCCCCCTTGTGGTCCCTCTTCCACTTTAGACAAAGAAGCACATATGTATGGCTTTTCTGGAGTTATCTCAGCCAAGTCTACCTCAACCTCATTGGCCTCGTGTCCAATATGATTGATGGTATAGTCTAAGTTTGGGAAGTATGATCCCCTTGATGCACTCCTACGATTCTCTTCCTCATGTAGAAGAGACTCATACCTCACGGCACAAGACATGAGTTGAAATAAATCAGAGAACTGCCTATCTTGGAATTTCTTCCTTAGTTCAAAACTCAAACCCCCTTGTGCCAGCTTGACGAACTCCCTCTCCGTCAAATTAACAAAGCAACGGTTACGGGTATTCTTGAAGTTAGTCAAGAAATGCTCAACCGATTCCCCTGGTTGTTGGCGCATACGCGCCAAGTCAGCCATGGACACCTCGGGCTCAGATCTGTAAAACTGAGCGTGGAAGACTTGTTCCATCTGTTGCCAAGTCTGGATGGAGTTAGACGGAAAGTTGACGTACCAAGCAAAAGCTGGTCCTGTCAACGAGTTTCCAAACAGTCTTAACTTAACAAAATCTCCTACATCGCCACATTGGACAGTGAAACGTCCAACGTGCTCTACAGTGGACTGATCTCCAGTCCCTGTGAATGTGGCAAACTCGGGAACTCTGAATCCCCTTGGAAATGGGTAAAGCCTATCTACCCATTCTGGGTACGGCTTACGGTATACAGGTGGCATAGCAGGTCTCACTCCCATGCCAAACTGCTCCATGAGGAGTTGAGCCACCTGATCCCTAAGAGTGTTGGCCTCATGCCCCCTTGTTGCCCCCCATACGGTACAAACCCAATGGGGTCCATGCCATGCCCATTGAAATGGGGTGGCGTTGGAGTTGGGTAGCCTCGAGGTGGGATTTGATCCATGTTACCACCTAGGCCTCCTCCTACCCCCAAATTCACGGGAGCCACGTAGGGTCTTGCCTCCGGGATAGAGGGACGAGCACCCACTTGCACGGGTGGCTGCTCAACTCGAGTGTTGAACATGGTGGCGAGGTTCTCACCACGCGGGGGTACCACTTCAACTCCCACGCGTGCCTGTGACGATTCCCCCACTTGAGTTTTAGCAGGA